TCTGGTTGTTGTGAAAACCCTCTTCCAGCCCCAGTTTCTGCCTTAACTGTTGCACGAGTGCTTGGTATTGGGTGAGCGACTTCAAAGTCTACAAGGTGGAGAAGCACATGACACCATTAAGCATGAACAGAGATTAGAACTTTGCTCATTTCTTTGCCAGTAATTTCAATTTGCTATGTTTAATCCTTTGCAACCATTTAATTCGATACAGCCGGGTTGTGTGTGCTTTGGCCTTTCTTCATTTCTACATTGACATATTGTTCAATAACTCATGTGAACTGTATTTTGAGCCAATACTGTCAGTGGAGATTTATGTGTTTTTTTCCATGTAAATTCATGTGCCTCCAATTGGCAAATCCACAAGTTGATAACCCTCATCTGAAACCAGGCAACTTTCCAAGGACTGCTTTATTTTTATTCTTTTATTTGTCCATGCCATATCACATACTTACATCATGTATATCCCCTGTACCTTTGTGCAACATAAACAAAAAGGAACAGAAGCTTTCTTCTGTGACACAAAGCCTTAAAACCCTGTCCCTCGTTCAGGTGGTTGCAAAGACATTTTAAAATTTTCACAAACCCAACAATCTCCATACTCTATACGCATATAACACAAGTCCTGTTTTGTTTTTTACAGTGCAGCTTGTATGGGTCGACGTGTCCACCCCCCATCGGGCTCTGACAGCTGTGGAGAGCTGCAGCGTTCACAAAACACAGCTCACTTCCAGAATGCCCGGCTCGCACTGGGACCGGGGGAAAATCACATACCACAAATACTACTGTCCCCAAGGCTGCTCCTCCAGCGCCTACGCTCCAGGATATGTCCGAGCAATAAATGTCAAAGTGAACTGTCAAATCTGTGCGAGCATTTCTACCGTAAGGGTGAAGAAAATCCCGTTCATTTTTATTAGACTCAATTATTTGCCCCCATTCAGCCACCGTGCCACATAAAAAGTTAAAGTCATGTTGATAGCAGATGACAGAACCATGCAACATACATGAGCTGTGTGTTGCATGGTTCTGTCATCTGCTATCACAAAGAAATGAATCCAGCCTATTGTCCAGCCTTTCAAATCCCACTGTAATTTGATGTTGTTTGTATAATAGGAAAAAGTGTTATCATTGAGTAATCTATTGAAACAGTAAAAAAAAAATTTAAAAAAAGTGGCGTGAAAAAAACATACTGGATTATTCAAATGCAATTCATTTGTGAAAAAGTCTAGGTTTATTTTTTTTAGATAAAGCAGTAATAGATCTGACGATGAAAACATTACTAAATATTCAAATGTCCTTTCCTTTAAAAAAAAATTGAAACCAAGTCAAAATAAGACTAACCTGGGATTATATATTACCAACTCAACTATAAGATCAAACTAACTTTACCAAACTTGTAGAAGGTTCTAGAGTATAGAGTATATGTAGAGTATGAGTATAGAGTATGTGTAGAGTATATGATACTCCTGAAAGGGCTGCCATCCTTTTGAGAAAACAGGCTTTGAACAAAAACATTTAATAATCAAACTTAGAACGTCATTGTTATTTCAAGGTGTACGCTATTACTTTGAGAGAACAGTGATGGAAAAGAAATGTTTTATTACTCCCCTCATTTTTAACAGTGCATTTGAGGCATACGTCAAAACCTTGTGTCAGTCTGAGGAAGCACTCCACACTGTACAGAAAACTTACGTCTAAGTTTACTCTCCTGGCTGCACATGATTTTTTTCTTACCGTACTTCTGTCAAACTGACCTGATTATGGGAAACCTCCCAATGCTCCGTAACCCAATGAAGTAATCCTAACCCGAATACAGAAATGCACAGTGAGTCAGAGCCTTTGTTGGGGAAAAGACAGGCCCCAGATTCACCTCTCAGATGTGTCAGTAAGGTCCCTCAGGAGAGGAGGTGTCTCGGGGTCGTGGAGTCACCGTCAGCCCCATGATCAGGTGCCAAAGTGGGGTGGGCTGCTCTGGGCGTGTCGGTGTCAGCTTCCCCCGAGTTTCATGATCTGTCAGAGCAGAGGTCACGGATGTAGTTAGTATTTTGGATCATGACCTGTTCAAGAAGCAATCAGGTAGAGTTTCTTGGTTTTTTAATTAGATTGGCTGAAGATTGACTGATTGATTGATTGACTGATTGAACATTACTTGCTGATCATGAACCATGTGATGAAACATTATGTCAAAGCTAAGCAGTGGAGGGCTTGGTCAGGACTACGATGGGAAATCCACAATGCGACGGCCGAGACACTTCATTCACGTTGGCTAGAATGAGAGAGCTAACCACAAATAATTATGATCATTAACTTATTAATAATACAAATTCCAACCAATCTAACCTAAGAGTACTCTCAAAAAGTCCAAGAGCATAATGTCAGGTCTGGTTGTCGGGATCCGAAACTTTAAAGTCATGTAACTCTTTTAATCCAGTTCTATTCAAGTTTGGCTTTCATCTGATCAACTGCTGATTCCTCTTTCTTTTCCTATTCCAACTCATTTATTATTCATCTTTATTATTCAAATTAAACTTTTAAAATCTATGTTTGTAGAGCTGACATCTGACTGGTTGGGTTAGTGCCAAAGCTGGAATAGTTTGTTGGAGACCAGGAAGTTTTCAGTCATCAATTTACTTGACAAAAAGCATTCCTCGTCCAAACCCCTTTAAACCCACCCTATCTCCAAACAAACATACACTGTTTTCTCACTGTTTTTGCATGTGTAATTTGTGTGATTTGTGGTTTTAAGATGAAGGTGCAAGGCTGAGTTAGAAAAGTGCTGCTTGGACTCACCAGTGTCATTCTAGCTGTAGATATAAAATACAATGCATAAAATAAAAGATTGAAGACACGTCCAATGCAGAAGTGTGTGGGCGGCCTGTGCGGTCAGTAAATATATTATTTTACTGCTTCAAATCCCCCTTTTTGACTTTGTGTCAGAATTTAGCATTAGGTTTAGATTAATTTTAAGAGACCTTTTATTTCGTGGGGACATTTCAGTGTTGCATCAAAAGTTACAGAACAGTAGGAATGAGCAGAACACAAGATACAGCACACTTTACACTTTACAATTTTTAGCACAGCACTCACTCCCCTTGTCATTATTTTTGTTACTTACACGCAACATTATTAGACTTCTAGTTATGATCTCGTAATGTATTCATTTTGAGCTGAATTGAGAACTCTATGCAACAGTCTTCGCTGCCGGCTAAATCCATAAATAAGGCAAGCACAATGCACACAATGACATCTGCTTTTAATAAAAACTGTATACTGAAGTAGGATTTCTACATATGTTGGATCACTGCCACATCAGCAACACAGACTTTATTAATATATTTTTCAACAACAACAAAAAACGTATGAACCCCAAAACAGACTGCTCATCCATTGGTCATAAGCTTTGAATTCCATCTCCTTGTACAGATAACAAAAATACTGTACAAGGAGACAATAAAAAAGTAATTTGGATCTTGTAACTTGCACCATGAAAGAGCTACTGTATATCGAGCTTTGGAATAAAGAAATTCATTAAGAAGAATTAGCCTGGCTGCCATGTTTTGGGTTACCAAAAAAAAACTCTTTTATCTACTCAAAATGTTTGACAATGTTAAAAAACATTAATAAAACTGCTTGTGTAGAGTAGAAGCACGCCTGGCCTTAATGAAAGCTGTATTCCCCTTGAGCACAGTCATGTGATCTTGTTGTTGGAAGTGAGATAGTTTTGTCTGATGAGCTCAGAGGAATGTGGAAGAAGAGACTGAGCAGAGACAGAGGGAGACGGAGGGGAGGGCGAAGAGGGGAAACCAAGTGAAAGGATGAAATTCAAGTATAAGTACCGTCCCATGTACCGGCTCTTGCACATGTACACGTATAGCATACTGTTGGTCCATGTGCATCTCAAAAGTATCATACAAATCAGAGTTACCACTTTTAAACCTGAAAACCCTCCCTCTTTTCAAAACAGCAAGTTTGAAAAAGGGGGTGATGAAATATTAATACAAACGAGTGGCCAGTGCAGAATTCAGATGATAATGAGAGAGTAGATCCTAAACTACACAGAGCTGTTTTCATCCTGCAGACCAGTGTTTTCTGACCTGTATAGTTTGCCTTTTATCACTGTTTAAAATGAGAACGGCCCTTAAGAAATACACAAATGAAGAAATATAAATCAAATATAAATAAACACATAGTAGAATCTAGCTCAATGATATGTACGGTCTGAGCAGGTAATGTGTGTGTGTCGCTGCTCGTGGAGGCCGCTAGTTCAACATGACCCTTGTCTCTGTCTGAAGTCTGGAGCCCCTCTCAGCTGTAACACTTGTGTCTCCTCTTCCTCATGATCCAGAGGGAGGGGCAGTGTGCGCTCTTTATGGGTGTCCAGTTACTCCACTGTAAAAAATCAACATCCACATTAGTCACTGCCGAATCCATGAAAACATCACCATTTGAACGAGCAAATTAAACATTTCAGAGTGTTGGGGCTTATTGTTACTTTTTTCTTCATGTAATATTGGCCTAATCTCAGGATTAGAATGTAACGTATTCAATTATTGGCAAGGCAAGTTTATTTGCAAAGCACAGTTCCTGGACGAGGCAACTCAAATACTTAACCAAAATGAGAAAAGAAATGACAAAATTATACAAGGCATTAAAATAAATCCAAAAATTGTAAAAAAAAATAAAAAAATAAAAAAAAAAGTACAGTACATTAAACAGAGGCAAGATACAATCCTTCAGTTTTAACCTGGATTGGATTTTGGATTTTGGATTGGACATTGTCAATGAGTTCAGGAAGATTGTTCTGGAATGTAGCATTATCAATCTGAAATGTTGCTGGGAATAGTTGAAAACAGTTGATGTGTCCTTGGGTAACAGTTTGGGGTAAATCTAATAAAATAGGAGTACATTGTGAATACATTTCAAGACCAAACTAATTTCTAACTACAGGTTATGTTTAGGACTTTATCATCACAAAACCAATCCTAGACCAAGAAGTGATGCTCATGCCCCAGTGTGAGACTCACCACGTACTTTCTCAGTTTTGCAGTGCTCCCATCTTCAGAAATCCCCTCGCTATTCGCTGGTTCACATCTGACAGCACGTCGCAGGCCTTTCCAGTGGCATGTGGGAGGCTCATTTACAACTGTCGCCCTGTGTTCGAACTGTCACTCCAGCCCACCCCCATCCTCCCCTCTTCTGTCTCACCCTTCACCTGTCCAAGCCTGAATGAACAGGCTTCCTTTCTTCTCTCTGCGGCTCTCTCCACACCAGTAACAATGACGCTTTGGGAATCGGATCTGGTCCAACTGAACATCTGATGTTTCTGGTTTGGCAGATCCGCAGCAGTCTGTCGTTCCCAATTACACGTCCACACTCCATCCACGCACTGATCACTTCCTCAAACAGTGATGTCAAATTTTTGGACACAGTGGCGGAAAGCAATTAGAAAGATTTAGTTATTTTGTTGTGTAACTTTTTCATAACTGTATAGCCCTACAGTTCAATCTGGGGTACCTTTTTAGAATAATAAATAATACAGTGTGCTTTTCCCAACTAAAACAAACCTGTAAAAGTAATAATGTGATTAAATAAAACCACAATACGTTGTCTTCATCTCGTTCAAAAATGTTTTATCTTTTGCATGCTTTTAGGAGAGGTCATTGGTCTGAGAGCTCATTGGTCTGAGAGGTCATTGGTCTGAGAGCTCATTGGTCTGAGAGGTCATTGGTCTGAGAGCTCATTGGTCTGAGAGGTCATGGTTGAGTGAGGGTGGTCCTCTCTTTTTCGCTGAGACGCCAAGACTTCCCTCTCTCCACACACCTCCTCCAGCACATCCAGCAGAATCAGGAAGCGTTCCCAGGCCAGCTGAGACCCCCAGTGTGTCCTGGTTCTACCCTGGGGCCTTCTGTTGACCCAGTGGTGGTGCGGGGTCTGTCAATCTCATGCTCCACCCTTCCCTTACTGTGAACATGACCTCAAGATATTGGAATTTCTCTACATGAGACAAGACCTCTCCATCCATTACTGAAACAATCAATTGTATATCCACACATTTGTCAAGTTGTGTCTGCCATAAACTATTTTCTAATCTCAGTGTTGATGTGTGACATGTATTATTCAATTTCGACAGTCGTTATTATAGCAAACATATTCACAAACAATAATTGTTTGTAACGTTTATAAAAATATTTTAGGAGTCATTATTAGTAAGTAATCTTTATTTATATAGCACATTTTTACAAACCAAAGTCACCCAAAGCACTTTACATTATTGAAGACTTGAGATGGTGTGGATTTTAAAGGTGCACTTTATTGATCCCCGTAGGGAAATTCATCCTCTGCATTTGACCCATCCTGATGCCGCTAAAGCTTACGTCAGGAGCAGTGGTGGCCGTAGAACAGCGCCCGGGAACCCATCTCCAGATGTTGATGCTCGGCTTGGTCAGGACTACCGGAGCTGGAGGATTTAACCTATTTTAGTACTTTGGTTTTATTTTGACATCAGTTTTTTGTGGGTTTTTTGTTGTTGTACTTCCTGTTTTTGCCCCGCCCTGATGTATGATGATTGTATTGTCTTTACTTGAACTTGTCTTTGTTCCTGGTTCCGTTTTGGATTTTTGAATGTTTTATTACCTTGGACTTTTGTTTTTTCATCATTAAATCATTTATAATTTTTCATTCCTGCATTTTGAGTCCTCCACCATCTTACTTCATGATAAGTCTATATAACCCCTATAAAAGATATTTCCAATGAAGGTCTAGGTAGAGGCCAAAAACAGGACCAGCTTCTCCTGTGCCCTGCCAGCCCCCATCCAGCCCAAACGTTGTGGCTTAGCTGCTCCCTTCCTCCAGTGAGAGTGAATGTGAGGTGCACCAAAGCCTTGGGCCAGCACAGGCTTCGGGGCTGCAGAGTGTGAATGAGTGCCATTGCAAAGCAGTGAGTGTGAGGCTAAAAATATACATCTGACACATGGACTCACAGACAGGGTCAGCGACAAAGAGCCACAGGCCAATCACCATAAATAAAGAGGTCTCATTCATGCAGCCACTGACACTGTACTGGTTAAATACATGTCTGATAAATACATTCTTGGTCGACTAAAGACCTGCCCAGGCCTTCGATTATTGTTCTGGCTTCAGTTTCAAAGTAAATAGCAATAGAAATGTGTTTAAGTGAATTGAATAAGAAAATATTAGGTTTAAACTTTCACTTTGACAATTAAGTAAAAAAAGAGCAATGTTGTATATCACGTTGGGGCCTGCCATTTCCTGCGTTTTTTTTAATTCGTTTTTTTCTTTAGAACAGACAACAGAAAACACATAACCACCCACCCCGCTCCCAAAAAGAGAAAAGGATGCTCCGAATATAATATTAAGACAAGGGGCCTAGTTATTTTTTGCATGGATATTGGTGCAGTAGCTATCGGCAAAACAGTGCTACTGTATATGCATGATTCATACACAGGGCAACTCAAAGTGCTAGAGTACAAAAAAGAAAACATTAAAATTAAGAACATGAAGTAATCACAGTACATTCATTTTTAAATAAAACCTAATTGAAAGAAGAGCAGATCCAATTCTTCAATTAAGCACGGCTATAAAACTGTTTTTGACCTGGACATTTTCGGAAAAGCCTCTCTCATGTTTTCAGGAAGAAAAAAGTTATTTCAGCTGCGTTCACTGGCACTCCCTTCTCTCTGTGGTCGGAGAGTCAAATGCCCTCAACAATTGTAAAGCGCTTTGTGACTCTTGTCGGGGAAAGGCGCTATATAAATAATTACTTACTTACTTACTTACTTACTGACTTAGTTGAAATGCTGCCTCCCCATGTTTAGCGCTGAGTCTAGGCCCCTGCATCTAGATATGTGTTATTGATGGTCAGAAGTATAGGGAGACAAAGTACAAATTTACAGTATAAAAACTAAATCAAAATTCCATTGACAGGACAACATTTAACATTTCTTGAGAATTTTGTTATCATATCTAAACTATATCAGTAGAATGTGTGAAAACCAACCTTGAGGCCCAATGAAATGCATTCTTATTCTGAGATAAAAAAAATCTGTTTATTGTCCAAAAAGCTGTGGTGTCGACATTGGTATCACACATTGAGTATATTGATCCAGTATCGAAATCAAGTTGAAATGTTGTATTATGGCAACCCTATAAGTGCCAATCATGGAAATATGCAACCTCACAGCGGCGATGGCTATCCCAGGGCAGCTGTGGCTTCACTATTAGCCGCCACCACCAAGCAGCAATTAGCACTGGGACCACAATCGTCGTACTTTACCACCACAGCATTCAGTCTACCATCCATGTTTTGCTTAGATTCTAAGATCCGTCAAGATTTCCTAATTTGTTGCGTACAAGCTGTATATTGATGGATAGATGAGAAAGAAGTTCATTAATTTTTGTTGTATTTGTTTCCATTGCAAACATATTTTTCACTAAACGTAATCCATCATAATCACCTAATGAATCCACTGGGCTCTTAAACATGTGGGCTTATTAAACCTATATAATGCATGTGCTCGGTGAGGGTTTCGACAGCCTTTGAGCAAACCGAGCCAGGTGCCATACGCCTCTGATTATGGGAAATATGATTGTGTGCTCAGTGTTGAAGCCTGCTGTGACTAATATTGCATTGAGAGTAAACTGCGCTGACACACTGCTGGGCGTCTGAAGAGGAGAGAGCTATGTGTTTACAAAAATATATACCACAAACTGTGCAGGAGAGGGAAAAAAAGGAAATGCATTTGAATGAAATCAGTATCTGTAAATCATCTCCCTCCCCACCCTTTAGTCTGAGGCTGAAATTACCACAATTAGACAGTGCTCCAGAGAAATAAAAAAAGCAATTATTATGTGAGAACTAAGACAATAGCCAATGCTTTTGATTGTTTTAATTCAATATGCCAGGTTCAATTATATTTTCCAGGGCTATTTTTCTGCATGAATGCTTTTGTTAGTCCCATATGGGAAAATATTTTTCTTTATAAAATGATTCCAGAACAACAAAACAAGTCTGGTAAAAGCATGTACCAGCAGGGGCTCGAGTGAGAATAGTTCTTGCACATAGAACATGAACATATTATTATGTTCAAGATTTTATACTTGCTCTTAGATGCTACAGTTAGAGATTTTGTTTTATTTTATTAAGTATAGCTTTTGTTCATTTATCTTGTGCTGTGTGCTACTCATTCCTACTGTTCCGTAACTTGTGATGCAACACTGAAATGTCCCCGCTGTGGCACAAATACAGGATCTCTTAATATTAATCCTAATCTTAATTATACCCAAACCTGGACAAAGCCTGCTGAATCTGGAGAAGGTTTGGCCCAGAAAGAGGAGAGCTTTGGGGGGTTGGTTGGGGGGGTACGGAGGTTGTGTCACCCCCTGCAGTGGGACAGGGAGGGGTGCAACTGTCCTGGCTGTAAATAACATCTGCCTGTGTGGTCTGAGTGTACACATGAGCCATGAGCGCATCAAAGCGGCACCAAGAGTGTCAAAGAGTGACCTGCTCTGGGAGGACTTTCAAGTGCACAGAGAAGGAAGATTGGATTATCATTTTGGATTTGGCAGCCCTCTAGTGACCATGGGTGTGTGTGCCAGGTCATGGTAACCTCTCCTCAGTCCAGAAAGTACTGACAGCTCAAGAGAGGACCACGCCAGAAGATTTAAAAAGTAAAACCTACTGTATCTTAACTCCATAAGAAGCCAGTGAATGGAATCCAGAACAGGAACATTTAGAATATCTATAAAGCTATTAAAGCTTAGGGAACAACATTCTCATAAAAAAAGCAGCAGGAGGACCTTCTCTGGGACAAACAGGAGTCAGGTTTGTGGAAATGCAAGCCGACTCAACAGGACAGGAAGTAAAACAGAAATGAAACCACAGAACACTATTTTCATAACAAAACCAAATACAGAAATAAAATCCACACCATGACATACACACTGTGATTATTTCAAAAATGTTGTAGCACATCAATAAAACAATAAAAAGGACAGAAAGTAGTTACTCGCATACTTTTTTACAAGGTTACAGTGGGTTAATTACACCAGTCCTTCTAAGAAAAGAGGGACTGCTGCTATGAGCATGCGGTGGCAGCTCTGATTGTCACCCCCCATCCCAGAAATGGATTAATAACAGAAGATAATGAATGAATAGTGAATGAGCAGTAGGTAGTAGTAAAAGTATTCTAAAACCTTTTTGGTCTTGTTGAGTCTAGCACTAAAATTTAAAATACTACAAGCACTTTGATTAGTTCCTGTAGGATTTTAATGTGCACTTCATACCCTGAGTCACTGTGGC